TCTGAGAAATCAGTGTTTGAAAATGAGATATTTGCCATTCAACAGATTGAGGAAAAGAAAAGAACTAGAAGGAAAGGAAGGGAGGAAGGGAGGAAAGGGGAGGGGAGGGGAGGGGAGGGGGAGAAAGAAAGAAAGAGAAGGAAGGAAGGATACACCACCTACAACAGGCCACCAAAGTTTTATTGGTAGATTTAAAAGTTGAAAAGTGTCATTCAGAAAAGGAGAGAATAATTGACTACAAAGTGAAATTATCTCTGAAAAAACAGGCAGCTGCTCTTCCCATTCCAGTTTCAATTCTGAGGAACAGTTTCCTGTCTCACACTGGGATTCTGTGCCCGGCTGATAACCTACAATCAGAAAGCCTGTGTATCTGCTTGACCTAAGTCTGGGAGCTTTTAGATTTTTGGCTAGAGGAGGAAGGATTCAGCGCTGGAGAATGGAGTAAGGACAAAGGACTAAGGAGAGAATGTCAGACCCAATCTCAGTCCAGCCTCTTGCTGGGCTGGAGCCCCAGGGAGAGAAGAAGGGGGCTGTCTTTGTGAAAGCTTTGAGAGAAGCTGCATGGAGGCCCAAGTGACCAAATACAGTCCTCAGGGGGTGAGGCAGCCGTCCTTCTCCCTTCTGCACCCATTCCTGGCGGTGCTGGCTCTTTGCAGATTTCCAGGGCAGAATCCTGGGACAGACATTAATATTCTCACCAGGCAGAATCACTGGCAGTATCACCAGGAGTTCCCTCGAGTAGGTATAATGAACATTTCCCAAGGGGCAGGGCAGATGCTGCAGCTGACCCAGGCTGGCACACTGGTTTGTTAGCTTGAGAGGGGGGCTGCTTAAACCACGGGGTGGGGGCACACAGAGCAGGCGAGGGACTAGGAAAGGAACCCTACTCACGGAAAAATAGGACTATGGGGAGCCTATAAGTAACCCAGTGGGATGAAGGGGGCCTGGCTTGAACTGGTCAACTGGTAGTTGTAATATATCTTGGTGATACAGTTACACATGTTCAGTGTTTTGAACAATGACTTCACTCAGTAAACCAAGATGGAAAATTGGAAATGTGGTGTCGTGATATATAATCTCACTGATACAATGTGATTGAAGGGGGAAAATTAATTAATGAAAAACCAAATTACATTTTACCAGAAGAAGTATGTATTTAGATATATTATATCTATATAATCCACCTACCTATAAATAACTCTGAAAAATAAGACACATTAATATGATAATGGGCTGCAATGTTCCTGTGAACTTAGAAATTATATAAGGTGACCCAAGTAGCCTTATAACGTTGGCTACTTGGGATCCTGCGATGTCAGAGAACAATGGATACGTGATACATAAAGATGTATTGTTACCAAGGAAATCTAAGGAAGCAAGCATTTAAATTTGGAGTTTANTCTCTCTCTCTCTCTCTCTCTCTCTCTCTCTCTCTCTCTCTCTCTCTCTCTCTCTCTCTCGTAGATGAGTAATTTATTTAGAGAGAGAGACCATCAAATGTAAAAAAAAAACAAAAACCTTCCCATTCTGAAGATACTATAGATATGTGAACTCCATCCTGGTATTTCCAGATTCAGAGAATTTTGAAGAGCCGGAAAAGAAACACTACATCAAAGACAAACAAAAAATAGAGAAAGTACTACCTGGATCTTCACATTTGGAAAAACTTACAGGATAGTAGTTTAGTTTGCTTTGAAATAAGGACTTTAAACATGAGTCAGAAAGTTGACCATTTTAATCTGTTAATTGTAGCTTTTCCCTTTAATAAAAAGCAGTAATCTATTCTACTATGCTATTCTAGGCCCACCTAGCAATTAATCCAGTTGCCTGGGTTCCCAGGAGCACTCGTGAAATTTCTGCTCACAAAGGGCCCCAACCTTTACACAAGTCATAAGGGAACTAGATCATGAATGTGTTTCCTCAGAACCCCAAGGCACTGCCCACACTCCTTTCCAAAGAACACAAGCGAAGCAGTCTACTTCCTGTCCTTGTTTAAAAGCCAAGCAGGACTTGGGTAAAGTGTGCTCTCCAAAGCTAAATTCAGTGACGCTGAGTTGGAGTAAAGGAAACTGGTCCTTTACTAGGATTTCTTTCTCATCATAGTTTCTCAGCATCAAGGGAGGTAAAGTTACTTTGTGCCTCTCAGTTACTGATTTTTTTTTCCCTGGAAAATCTGAACATCAGTCAAGAGAGAATGTTCACATGATACTTAGTCAGCAGCAAATTGCAAGTATACAGCAAGCACTACCCTGGCAGGCTTACCACTCAGAATTTAATGAGAAGAACCAGTTCAGGCACCAATGTTACCTAGCTGTCCTCAGCAGGAGCCTGTGTCCCAAACCATCACAAGAAAAAGAACCTATGTTTTAGATGAGTTACTGTGAGTCTCACATACATTCAAGGACCATCATCAAAGTTCTCCCCAGAATATGGAGTAATGCTGATTCGAAGTATAAACCCCCCCTCCCATTATGAATTTAGGAAGCAGCTCCAGTCTCCCCAAGACCAAAGATGAGGCACAACCATCAAATGAATGAGAAACTCTAGGGATTTAAAGCCAATGTCTGAAAAGGAGACCATTGTGGAAAAATTAATTTTATTATTAAATTTTAACTTTTATGGAAACACAATTTCCTAGTATGAAAGATAAACGTTATTATACACTTGAGACAAAGAGCCAGAATTTTGGAAGTTGGTGAAAATTTTTCTCATGCTCTGTGCCCAAGTGGTTAATCTTTATTGCTATCATTTTCTTCAGAATTAACTGCGCCTGTCTTCCATTCCTTTCCCAGAATCCTAGAAACAGACTAGGTTACTGAGGTCCAACTGTCCTCATTGTCCAGCAACCCAACTCCCAGGAGTCACTTTACAAATATTCCACAGTATCTGGAACAGGAATCATTAACTTCAAGGGTCTGGCCTGAAACCTGAGTCACAGCCTCAACCTATGTGTCCCTGACTGCCTGGCACTGAACTCCTCCTACTCTTCAGAGTGGATGCATTTTAGTGTTTGTATTTGTGCAACGGATAATTGAGAATAAATCCTCAAACATGTTTTTTAACACACACACACACACACACACACACACACACACACACACACACACACACCAGCTAGGGTTCTGCACACTCAGATCAACATTCTGCCACACCCTACACGTCCTCAGCACAGAGCATTAATACCCACATTAGCCAATCGGATCAGGGATGAGTCACTGATTTGCAAAAGCTTAGGGTTTGAGGTCTTTGCCAAGCTAGGTCCATGCCCACTCAGGCCTTGGGGCAGCACCGTTTTCTGTGGGATCAGCACGCAAAAAAGCAGCTGCAGTCCCTGACGCTGCTGGGCCTGGTAGATGAGCTCATTCGCGCCCCACACAGCAAGGTCAGGTGGCCAGCCAGCCAAGTCAATGCTCCCAGGAGCCGCCCTAGAGAGTCCCTGAGCAGTACGCCCTGTATGCTGGGTTAGGGGACCTGGTTCCCGTACCAAGCTTGAGGGCGCCCCTCCACTACCGGTTCTCAATTGGACTCAGCTGATACCGAGGTTGCCCAGCGGCGGGAGGGAGGGACGCGTGGCTCAGCCTCCTAGACGCGGAAGATGGTGCCCTGTGCCCACGCCCCGTGTCAGCAGACACACCCGCCCGCTCGAAGGATGTGTGCGTCTGTGAGACGTCGCTACCTTTCCCTGAATCCCCTCTTTTGAAGTGTCAGAGGCTATGGACCTGTGCTCAGACTGTGCCCACCGCTCCGCTCGGGGTTCTCCAGCTGTTGATACCCACCGCTCCGCCCCCGAAAGACAAGCCGCTCCCCAGGTTCCCGCCCGAGCTCTTCAAAGGGGACTGCGCACCAAGGACTGCCCGGACGCCCCCACCCCTGCCCGCCCCGAGTCGCCAACAGTCTGGGTCTCCCCAAGACTCACCCCAAGTCTGGACACTCGCTTGCTCACGCTGGTAGCGGCTCCTGGTGAGGTCTTGCTCTCCCCGACGGGGCGGTGGCTTCGCACCTCAAATATGCCCAGCCCGGCCCGCCTCTCTCCGGGCGGGGCCGCCACCCCGCCCACTCGGCCTCGCCCTGTGGAACAAACTGTACGCGCCCCGGGCTCTGCCGCGCACAAAACACACCCTCGGAACCCAGGAGACCGCGGGCAGGATCCTGAAGGGTGTTCCCCACCCCCGCTGCCTCCTATTGGCCCCCTCCCCAATTGCCAGGACCTGGAGGGTGGCCACGTTCACCACCCTCTCTCCAGATTAACCTGACTCCTCAGAGGAAAGTAGGGAGAGTCTGTGAAGCTTGTAGTGTGTGCTTGTTTAGGGAGTTTTGCTTGCTTGCTTGTTTTAACGGTGTTGACTTATTTTCTGCCTGAATGGCAGGCGCTCTCGTCCCTTCTGCATTTACTTTACCCAAACCCTCTCTCAGCATCAAAGCCCTCCCAAGAAGCGCACAGTGGCTTGCGTCGCTGAGAGGGCCCTGTCCTGTTTTCTGCGATACTGGGTGAAATGCTCCCATGTTCTTGGCCTTTTATTCATTTCCTTTCTGAACTGTGATGTGGTTACACACCTCTCAGACTGAGACTAAATTGTTTTGCTGTTTGCTCTCTCCTGCTTCCTCATCATCTGTGCAGTGTTTGTGTATAGCAGGTTCTCAGTAAATATTTGCTTCTTGAATGAATGAACGAATGAAATAATGTGTCACTTCCTAGAAAGTCTAACTATCTGTTTTCACAAAGATGGGGGAGAGTCCTGACTAAGGAGGGAACAGTTAGATACAAAAGTATCCCATTAGTAAGGTAGGAGTAGGATAAAGCTACCCCTCTAGGAAAGCTTGTTACAACAAATATCAATGCTTACAAGAGAGATTGTATTTAGTATTTGGTATCATTTATCTGAGTAATAGCTGAGCAAAATGGTTAAGGATGGCCAAGATGGATTTTTTTTAAAAAGTTCACATATCTACTCATGAAAATTAACTTGAAATGGATTAAAGATGTCAATGTAAGACCTGAAAACAAAATTCCTAGGAGAAAACAGAAGGGAAAATCTTGACATTGGTCTTGGTGATGACTTTTTTTGGATATGACACCAAAGCACAAGCAACAAAAGCAAAAATAAACAAGAGGGACTACATTGAGCTAAAAAGCTGCACAGCAAAAGTAACAATTAACAGAATGAAAAGGCAATCTACAGAATGGGAAAGAATATTTGCAAACCATCTGTCTGTAATAGGTTAATCTCCAAAATATATAAGGAACTCATACAAATCCATAGCAAGAAATAATCCAAATAAAAAATGGGCAAAGGAGCTTAATAGACATTTTTCTAAAGAAGACAAGCAAATTGCCAACAGGTACACAGAAAGGTGCTCAACATCTATAATCTTCAGGGAAAATTAAATCAAAGCCACAATGAGATATCACCTCATACCTGGTAGAATGGCTATCGTCAACAAGACAAGACATACGTGGTGGCAAGGATGTGGAGAAAGGGAACCCTTGTGCACTGTTTGAGGGAATGTAAATTGGTGCAGCCACTATGGAAAACAGTAGGGAGTTTCCTCAAAAAGTTAAAAATAGGGCCAGCCGAGTGGTTCAGTTGGTTGAATTGGCTTAAGAGCGTAAGCTCTGAGAAATAGGTCCGCCAGTTTGATTCCCACATGGGCCAGTGACACTGCACCCGAGCTGAGCTGTCACTGAGCTGCCAACAGGTGGCAGGATGGCTCAACTGGTGTAACAACAAGATTGCCTGTTTGATGGTGGGCTAAGGCCCACCCGCAACTAAGACTAAACTCGGCACCTTGAGCTGCCGCCTGGATGGCTCAGTGGCTAGAGCGTGCGCTCTTAACAACAAGGCTGTTGGTTTGACTCCTGCACAGGATGGTGGCTACGCCCACCCACAATGAAGACTGAACACAGCACCTTGAGCTTAGAGGCCACGAGCTGCCGATGGGCAGCCAGATGGTGACTGGAGCCCTCCACAACTAAGATTGAAGAACAACAACTTGTCTGTTCCCCTTCCCCAATTCCCCAGCAGTGTTCCCCTCCCCCAATTCCCCAATAAAATCTTTTTTTTAAAATTTAAAAATAGAACTATTTTAAGATCCAGTAAGCCTACTTCTGGGTATAATATCCAAAGGAAATGAAATGACTATTGTGAAGAGATATCTGCATGATGTTCATTGCAGCATTTTTCACAATAGCCAAGACATGGAAACAACCTTAGTGTCTGTTGATGGATAAATGGATAAAGAAAATGTCACACACACACACACACCACACTGGAATATAGAGTAGATCTTTTTAAATGTTCTCATCACACATAAAAAAGGTAACTATGCAAGATGATGGCTATATTAACTAACTTTATTGTGGTAATCATTTCATTATATGTATATAAAAAATAAAGCTAGTTATTAATAATAGCTAATATTCATTGAACACTTATTATATGCCTTGTACTATACCTAGTGCTTTACATACATATATGTGGGTAGGTATTTTTATCCCCATTTTAAAGATGAGAAAACTGAGGCACAGATAATTAAATATGACCAAGATCACAACATACATCAAGTTGCGAGTATGTCAGGGTCTGAGAAATCAGTGTTTGAAAATGAGATATTTGCCATTCAACAGATTGAGGAAAAGAAAAGAACTAGAAGGAAAGGAAGGGAGGAAGGGAGGAAGGAAGGGGGGAGGGGAGGGGAGGGGGAGAAAGAAAGAAAGAGAAGGAAGGAAGGATACACCACCTACAACAGGCCACCGAAGTTTTATTGGTACATTTAAAAGTTGAAAAGTGTCATTCAGAAAAGGAGAGAATAATTGACTACAAAGTGAAATTATCTCTGAAAAAACAGGCAGCTGTTCTTCCCATTCCAGTTTCAATTCTGAGGAACAGTTTTTTGTCTCACACTGGGATTCTGTGCCCGGGTGGCTGATAACCTACAATCAGAAAGCCTCTGTATCTGCTTGACCTAAGTCTGGGAGCTTTTAGATTTTTGGCTAGAGGAGGAAGGATTCAGTGCTGGAAAATGGAGTAAGGACAAAGGACTAAGGAGAGAATGTCAGACCCAATCTCAGTCCAGCCTCTTGCTGGGCTGGAGCCCCAGGGAGAGAAGAATGGGGCTGTCTTTGTGAAAGCTCTGAGAGAAGCTGCATGGAGGCCCAAGTGACCAAATACAGTCCTCAGGGGGTGAGGCAGCCATCCTTCCCCCTTCTGCACCCATTCCTGGTGGTTCTGGCTCTTTGCAGATTTCCAGAGCAGAATCCTGGGACAGACATTAATATTCTCACCAGGCAGAATCACTGGCAGTATCACCAGGAGTCCCCTCGAGTAGGTATAATGAACATTTCCCAAGGGGCAGGGCAGATGCTGCAGCTGACCCAGGCTGGCACACTGGTTTGTTAGCTTGAGAGGGGGCTGCTTAAACCACGGGGTGGGGGCACACAGAGCAGGGGAGGGGCTAGGAAAGGAACCCTGCTCATGGAAAAATAGGACTATGGGGAGCCTATAAGTAACCCAGTGGGATGAAGGGGGCCTGGCTTGAACTGGTCAACCGGTAGTTGTAATATATCTTGGTGATACAGTTACACATGTTCAGTGTTTTGAACAATGACTTCACTCAGTAAACCAAGATGGAAAATTGGAAATGT